GGAGGCACCCGAGATCGCGGTAGACTACTGGCAGATGCCTGAAGGCCACCGCACAATGCGAGATCTGCTCCTCTACAGTGCGTATACCCCTGATCCTTCCATGCAGCACAGCCCACTAACCCAATCCTAGTCCGCGCAGACGAATCCAAGCACCGAGAGGTTAATCACACGTTCGGTAACCTCGATCAGAAGGAAGACCCTAACCCATACGTGAGCGAATACCGGAACCCAGAGGAGCCTCATCCGACCAAGGACCTTGCCCACATGAAGCCGACAGGCTGGGAGAGGCACGAGATCATTTAAGGACCTCCATTGCTTTGCTTATTAGCGTTTGTTCGGCATACACGGCGTCTTTGGTTTCCATTCTCCGCTCTTACAAAATTGCATTTCGGCGTTACAAGACATCTTGGAATATTGGAAAAACGATACCCAGATCACGATTGGTGTCATGAGGAGTAGATGCATCATGTATCCCTAGACTTTCGGACCTTCTACAGATTCAGATTCAATCTCAGTTCCAAGCGGTGTGCTCCCATCGGATCCGCATCTGGATATACAGTAGCTCCAGCACAATAGCCGGTGGTGTTGCTAGGTATAGCAATAATTCGATATCACGAAGCTTCATCGATATTCAACACAGAGTCGCTAGGTGGATCGCGGCACATCCGGAGATGGAGTAGGCTCGAAGAAGGACTGTTCAGGACCAGGGCGCAGTTTGCGCTGACTGGCGGCCTGGACGACCGATGCCAAGTACAACGCGGATGCAACGCGTGCCCCAGCCTCCTCCTTGACATACAGAATAGCGCTTTCAAGGAAGCGGAAACTTTCCGGTCAGCGTCTGCATAATCATCTCCACGTAAGCTCCAACCCATGCACTCATGACGAGTCAGTCACATAGTGGCGCGTGTCGCGCAGCCTCGTGCAGCCTCAAAAAAGGAACTTCGCGGTAGTCTGCCGATCTGGACGGCTCCAAGACCGCCAAACTTCAACGCATTCTCAATGGAGCTACTGCTGACTATGATTCGATAGAAACACGTTCATCTCGCTTCAAATTATCCGAACAGAGTTGCGATCGCTGAGGTTTTACAGTTTAGTGGACACGAACTGTACCTCGGGAATAAGGTAACATCGTGAAATTAGGAGACGTCTTTTGGGTTTGCGGCTCACAGCATCTAGCAGCAAGCTCGATATAGACTATTTTCGACGGACAGGGTGTGTTACATGTTACAGCAGGAAGCCATTCCTTTCCCGCAAGACACCGTTTACAACGACTGGCTTACCGTTCTTCCGTGGTTCGAAGCGGAGCTAACCCCGCACTTACTGACACTAGCTTCGATGCCAAGGGTACACCTCCTCCCAACGTGAGGCACATCGACTACTGCAACATCGTGGCACTGGGTGGGGGCATCGTGGAGTCAGAGGGATAGTGATGGACATCTTGTCTTTACTGACTCTCGGTATGTCATCGATGCCTCAATGCCGCTGATAACCTTCAATGCCTTCGATACCTCCATCCAAGTTGGGACCTCGGGAGTGCGCCGAGCGTGTGAGGCACAGCGACTACTGCACCCCACATCCGCATTCTTCCACGAGAGATGCACGGGTATCCTGTGGCCAGGACGTCAGCGCCGCAAGACCCCCGCAGCAAGGCACGAGCTAATCCCACTTGCCGCAGCTGCATGAGCTTCCAGGACCATCATCCTGGAGCTACTTGGAGCTCTGGCAAGTATAGCAGAGAGTGCTTGAACCTGTTATGCCATTGTGAAATCGTGCGCAAAGATCTTCGACCAATTCGTTCTCTACGCATCTATCATGAACGGATTTCACATCTCGGTTATCGCTTTCCCGATGGTGGCTCACTCAAACGCCTCGTTCATTCCTGTTCGTACGTGATACGCTGGGGCTCGACGCCTGGGGACGCTACAGTGGCCTCTCAGCTTCGGGTCCGCAATGCTTACCCCCAAGAGTGGGCCTGTATACGCAACCGAGCATGCCTTCTTACTGGATATGAGGCTTCTCCGCACCAACTAGCAAACATGCGACATCTGCAGCGTCTATCCCAGTCCGGTCTTTATCCAGTACCGTCGGAACGGTTGGCATCCTTGCGCGAGCATTCCGACCAATCATCGCTTGCGCACCTACCCTGTGGAAGTCCGGCATAGACGCAGCCTACCTTGCGGATCCGCAAGTTTAACATGCCGCTCTCCTTCGAATGGCCTCGACGGAGACCCCTGCGGTCCCATGATGGATGGTCGTAGCCAACGTCTAAGCCTCTTTGGCTGGGGAGGCTGGCCAAATGGTACATGTCCCCTCTTCGGTGCATGCATCTTGCTGCTATCGGAATTGACGGCTGATGAGCAGCGCGTAGTGACACAGCCTAGATGATGGACCCTCCTTGAAGCCGAAGATCCTGGAGATGCGGGGTCTGAGCAGTTTAAAGAGACGTCGTGCCTTCTGCTGAGAAAGAGCATCACGCCCAGTTGACTTGTCTCCTGCGGTCAACGATACAACAATAACAGTTTTCTAATTATATCCTTATCTCATCGACAGCCTTCAAGATGACGATTCCCGATGAGGTCGACATCATCGTGTGTGGAGGTGGTTCCTGTGGTTGTGTGGTTGCTGGACGTCTGGCCAATCTCGACCACAACCTCCAGGTCCTCTTGATTGAGGGTGGAGAGAACAACCTCAACAACCCATGGGTCTTCCGCCCGGGTATCTACCCGAGGAACATGAAGTTGGACAGCAAGACTGCCACTTTCTACTACTCTCGTCCCTCGGAGTGGCTCGATGGCCGCCGAGCTGTTGTGCCCGTCGCCAACATTCTCGGAGGTGGATCTTCCATCAACTTCATGGTAAGCGCTTCCCATCCACATTATCATTAGCAGCCATTAACTTCTCATCAGATGTACACTCGTGCCTCCGCTTCCGACTACGACGATTTCCAGGCTAAGGGTTGGACCACCAAGGAGCTCATTCCCTTGATGAAGAAGCACGAGACCTACCAACGTTCCTGCAACAACCGCGACATCCACGGTTTTGAGGGACCCATCAAGGTCTCGTTCGGTAACTACACCTACCCGATCAAGGAGGACTTCCTCCGTGCCACCGAATCTCAGGGCATCCCGACCACCGACGATCTCCAGGACTTGACCACTGGCCATGGTGCCGAGCACTGGCTTAAGTGGATCAACCGCGACACCGGACGACGATCTGACTCTGCGCACGGCTACATCCACAGCACCCGCGCTGTTCACCAGAACCTGCACCTCCTCACCAGTAACAAGGTTGAGAAGGTCATTCTTGAGGGAGATCGCGCCGTTGGCGTCAAGGTTGTCCCGACCAAGCCTCTCCACCCCGAACAGCAGATGTCGAGGGTCATCAAGGCTCGCAAGCAAATCATCGTCTCCGGTGGTACTCTGAGCTCTCCTCTCATCCTTCAGCGCTCTGGTATCGGTGACCCAGAGAAGCTCCGCAAGGCTGGCGTCAAGCCTCTTGTCGATCTTCCTGGTGTTGGTCTCAACTTCCAGGATCATTACTTGACCTTCGCCACCTACCGCGCTAAGCCTCACGTCGAATCTTTCGACGACTTCGTCCGTGGCGACCCCAAGGTCCAGGAGCAGGTCTTCCAGCAATGGAACATCAACGGCACTGGCCCACTCGCCACCAACGGTATTGAGGCTGGTGTCAAGATCCGACCGACCGAGGAAGAACTCAACATGATGGACAGCTGGCCATGCAAGGAGTTCCGCTCTGGCTGGGACTCGTACTTCAAGGACAAGCCCGACAAGCCCGTCATGCATTACTCCGTCATTGCTGGTTGGTTCGGTGACCACATGGTCATGCCACCGGGCAAGTTCTTCACCATGTTCCACTTCCTCGAGTATCCCTTCTCTCGTGGTTCCACGCACATTGTGTCGCCAAACCCGTACGAGGCCCCCGACTTCGACGCTGGCTTCATGAACGACAAGCGCGACATGGCTCCTATGGTCTGGGGTTACATCAAGTCCCGTGAGACTGCCCGCCGTATGGACGCCTACGCTGGTGAGGTGCAGGCCATGCACCCCTTCTACGCCTACGACAGCCCAGCCCGTGCCAAGGATATGGATCTCCAAACCACCAACGCTTACGCGCTCCCTGGTAACATCACGGCCGGTATCCAGCACGGATCCTGGACTATGCCCATCGAGAAGGGTCGTGCAGCCAAGCCCAACTTCTTGAGCTCGAGCTGCCAGGACATTCAGGAGGACTTGCAGTACTCCACCGAGGACATCAAGCACATTGAGGACTGGACCAAGCGTATGTATTCCCCTACTCATGAGTCGTCGGACATCTCACTAACACACTACAGGCCACGTTGAGACCACCTGGCACTCGCTCGGTACCTGCTCCATGGCACCCAGGAACGGCAACTCCATCGTCAAGCACGGTGTGCTCGACGAGCGCCTCAACGTCCACGGCGTCAAGGGCCTCAAGGTCGCCGACTTGTCCATCTGCCCCGACAACGTTGGTTGCAACACGTACTCGACTGCGCTCCTCATTGGCGAGAAGTGCGCCGTGCTCACGGGTGAGGACTTGGGCTACAGCGGCAGCGCCCTCGACATGAAGGTCCCCAACTACCACGCCCCGAGGGAGATTGCTGGATTGTCGCGCTTGTAAAAAGTCGCTGGGATAGGATGTCTGTTATATAGTTTTCATGATTAAAATGAGTTAATGTTATGTTGTGTATAGTTACACTTGTGTCTCGTCGTGATTGTGATGTTTGGTTGTGACTGCTGGCTTACTCTTACGACGATGTCGTGATCACGCTAGTACCCATCTCCACCTCATTCATTGGTTGTTTCTGAGATGCTAGCCGCTGACCCACATGGCATGAAATGTTTAGTCGGAGACCGGAGGCACCGCATACTTCGTTGTGTAGGCCTTCTTGTCTATCTTTACATCCCACTTTTCCTTTTTACCTTCCTAGCCCTTGCGGACAGTCGCCAGACCCAGCCACCATGTCCACACTAACCCGAAACCGCGCATCCCAACTAGCGGCCAAGATCACGCGACCAGCCTTCCAACACGCCATCCGCAATCTAGCAACCGTATCACCAGTACAAACAACGACCCGCAACCACAAAATCGTCGTAATCGGCGGCGGCTCAGCCGGCATATCCCTCTCTCACCAACTCCTGCGCAAAGGAAACTATTCTCAAGACGACATCGCCATCATCGACCCCGCGCAATGGCACCACTACCAACCGGGCTGGACGCTCGTAGGCGGCGGTCTAAAAAAGAAAGAAGATCTGCGCCGCCCCTTGAAAGAGCTCATGGATCCACGCTTCAAGTTCTACAACAGCGCTGTAGGAAGTTTTGCGCCGGAGCAAAATTACGTCACTACGAGTAACGGGGAGAAGATTGGGTATGAACAGTTGGTCGTTGTGCCCGGTATCACGCTTGACTATGGTAGTGTGAGTGGCTTGAAGGAGGCGTTGGAGGAGAAAGATGCTATGGTGAGCACGATTTACGACTACGCGTATTGCGATAAGGCGTATGAGAATGTGAAGAAGTTCAAAAAAGGTGATGCAGTGTTTACGCAGCCAGCCGGCGTGGTCAAGTGTGCGGGCGCGCCGCAGAAGATCATGTGGCTTGCGTTGGATTACTGGAAGGATGCTGGGCTGTATCCGAAGGATATCAACGTCGCTTTTGCGACGGGGTTGCCTACGATGTTCGGTGTGCCGAAATAGTAAGTCGTCTCCTCTACCTGCCAGCATGCAAACGAGGCAGAAATGTGCTAACACCCTACCAGCGCAGCAACGCTCGAAAAGCTCCGCGTAGAACGCGGCGTAGAAGGTCTCTTCCAACACGACCTTACTTCCATCAACGGCAACACCGCAACCTTCACATCCCCCAACTCCCCCACCCCAGTGAAGAAACACTTCGACTTCCTGCACGTCGCGCCCAAGAACGTGCCTTGGGGGTTCATCAAATCTAGCGCTCTCGCAAACGAAGCAGGCTACGTTTCTGTCTCGGATTCTACAACGCAACACACTTCTTACCCCAACATCTGGTCCATAGGCGACGCGTCCTCTTTACCGACATCTAAAACCGTGGCTGCCATCACGGCTGAAGCACCGGTGTTGGTGTCCAACGTACTCTCCGCGATGGAGGGTAAGGAGCTGACGGCTAGTTACGATGGGTACACGTCTTGTCCGTTGCTGACGGGGAGGAAGGAGGTGTTGCTTGCTGAGTTTATGTATGGGGGTGTGCCGAAGGAGACGTTTAATGGGCTGCTGGGAATTGATCAGGGAGTGCCGCGGAAGGCGTTTTACTGGCTGAAGAAGGACTTCTTTCCGTGGGTTTATGGGAAGTATCATGTCAAGGGCGAGTGGGCGGGGCCGAAGGGGTTGGCTAGGTGAGTGGAAAGTGCGATGGGTTCGCGCCGCACGTGGCCGGGTGGACGAATCGTCGGCATGTGAGCGCATCTCGGCGCTTGGGAAGCTGCGAAGGCATTGTTGACCTATTTCAGAAATACCTACCTTCGTGATCTGAATCCAAATATTACCGTAGCTGTTGCAGCAGCATACTGTGCAATAATCGTGGGCAATCGCTTGTTGCTTGTGATTGGTGGTGCTAAACAGAACTCACAGAGCGATGGCCGCGTACCGTACCAGCTAAAAAGAACATGTCGAGATTGTGCGCTTGTTTACCGACGTCTTTTTGAACAAGTGCCTCATCGGAAGGTTAAAGCCAGGCAAAGCGTTGTCGCCGGCCTGTGGCGGCGCAATTGGTTTTGCGCGGTCCGTCAAGCACCGCGGCTGCGAACTGACGGGTACGTGCTCACCTGGGCAGTCTAGCGCTTGTACCACCTCTGACACTTCCAAGGTTCCAATACCTCCGCCGCTTCTACTACTTCTACCACCCTCACCAGCCCTACCACGCCCATCACCTCCACCACCTCCACCACTTTCGATCCGCTATCAATCCCTGCAGCTAAGACATATTGGCGACCTTGCTCGTCTACCCATCTCCATTTGCACCATGACGAAACCCAACCTTGGAAGGTACCCGCGCGTACCTCATCACCGGTATCTACAAGATCAACGAGCTTGGTGAGAAGGAATACCACCTGACCCTGAGAACTTGGAGCGCCGTAACTGGATTTGAAGAGCGCGACGTCAGAAACCGGGTCACACAGACGGTCTTACCTTCATTGCCCTTGTTCATTGAATGGCGAGATGGCTGCCTCAGCCTCGAAGACAAGCCTGCTGCAATTATACGTCAAGACATGATGCAGTCCTTGAGCGACGACTTGCGTTGGAGAACGTTCTCATTTGGGACTGAACATGGCGGCACGGGTTGCTTTTGTACGAGCAGGGCAGGAGGATACATGACACTTTCAATTTTTCAAGGAACTGGCGACAACCATTCTGGCGACAACGTCGGAGTTTGCAGTCACCCAGTCTCTCGGATGAGACCCCCAGAAGACGACAAAGTGGCAAGTGCTTCACCGGTGCGGCCTCTATTTGCTAGCCGGGCACCGAAAACGATAATACAGCGAAGGAAACAAGAGGACATCTGAGCGTATGACACTCTTGCTGGCATGCATGTCCACGACATGAGGGGACTGTATGAATGCAGTAAATGCCCAAAGCTTCGGTACGACCTGAACCTTCTAGCTTCACACGAGATCAGGTGTAAAGGCAAGGAGAGTTCGAAGTACGCGCGGTTCGACGGCGCACATCGGGCTGAATACATACCTCAGTCAACAACTGGCAAAGCGAGAGGCGTGCTCGCCGGGGCAAGGTCTTCCAGTGCCGCACCGAAAGCATGGAAGTCTGGAGAAGAAGACATGGCAAAAGGCCTACCGATATTCGCCAGAAAAGTCTTCGACACGTTGGTTGACGACCACGGTAGCGACCTGGATGTCCTGGGAACACTTGTCGCGTTGTATGACGTCCACACGTCATGCGTTCCAACGGGAAAGTACTGCCAAGCACACACTACCATCGACCCGTCCATTAGGTCGTACTATGCTCGCGCGTACAAGTTTACCAAGACGATCGACAAGAGCTTAGAGGATTTCGCCGCTCGCGGGATCAAGCCCTTCGTCTTGTCTATAGGCCTAGATGGCCTTGCGTGCAAGGTCGAACTGATACTCCCGTGGCTCAAACGCTCGCCGGCATTCACCCTCATAATCCGGGAAACTGAGTTAGTATATGGTATAAAAGTAGCATACTTTCCTCGGCAAGAATCAGGCTTTCACTATGGGCTCTTCGAGTCCCACGACCTTCTTGCGCGATTTCCACGGACACTGCGGTAGATGACGCCGTCATGAACATGTTGGCGGCCTGGAAGGCTTGCCAGGACTGGAAAGACTACGGTAAAGCACACAACGGTCGCCTGATCGGTCGCAACGGCGACCCGCAACGCGTACTCAAGAAGTCAAAACGTAGCCCAAAGAAATCGCCCGTGGTTCCGACTGGCGTAATGACCAACTCTTTCGAACCAGCATGAGCAACACAACAAAGTCGATCATGCCACATATCACGGCTACACCATACCTGATATTTGCGACCTTACGAAGCCGCGATGTCCTTGTTACATGTTCATCTTCCTGCCATTTATCTGTTTAACTGTTACGCCGGCAGAGCATGTACTATGTCATATGGCGAGGAACTCTCGGACGAAGTCATTTGAAAAGGTCTAGCTAGAATAGTTGGCGAGAAGGAGGTAGAAGACTGGCACATCTCGTGCTACGGTTTCGTGTATGCGAGACGGCAACACTTGCGTTAATGGCACTCATCTCGATTAAATCAATAGAGGGTTGAGCATACATGGTTGTCTACAAAAAGCGAACAAGAGACGTATTTGCGCTGTATCTTTCGGGGTCTAGACGGGCACGTGGCAGACTACGTCAAAACCTTTGTTCGAAGACATTGCCAGGTCCTAGATGGTCCTGAGAGGGCAGCTAAGTGACGACGCCGAGATCATTGAGTGTCTTCCGCTAGGAGGAGCGAGAATCTATTGCGATTAGGTGAGCAGCGGTTAGGAGGCGTCCACAAACGCCACGACATCTACAACCTCCACTGGCCGACTCCCATGGAGTACCTGTACTAAGCTCTACTTTGTTGCAATGGCTGTGACATCAGGGAAGTCGCACGAATCCCATGGACTCTGCAGGCTATTTGTTGCCCTATTGCCCTTTCAATGATGGCTTTACGTATTCAATAGTCGCACAACGTGGGCACGCTCTATCGCCGCCAAAGCGATATGTTACCTCCTAGCCGTTGTTTAGTTATAGAATTCATCTTTACGATAGCTATTGTAATCTTCTCGGTTAGCTTTGACAATTAGTTACACCGATGTGCACTGCATAGTAGCTTCCTGGCTATTCTCTCATATACAGCTAACAACCTGGCAACTCTAGTTGTAGCTTTCTAGTGCACGTATTGGCCTGAAACATCGCTATTCATGCTGCAACGTAGCCTTCCAGCTGGCTCATGCGTGTCACTTGTAAGTTCTCCGAGAGCTATCTCCTCTCCAAAGGCATGTCTGTCACTGGTGGATTGGAGCTGACCACACCGGCTTCGTGGCGCCTTTGGTAGATGCCCTCGATCAACAGTCGTACGATCGGAGCCGACCTGCTTTACCGATCTGCCCTTGCCCTTGCCCTTACCCTTGCCTTTGGCCTTTGTGATAGCATCCTCCTTGGCTGACTGCACGTCTTTGTCGTCGCGGCCTCGCACACGATCCCGGACTATGCCGAATGCACCTTTCGCGATCTCCTCTGTCGTCATCTTCTCCCGGTCCTCGAGGCCCTCACTTGCAGATTGCAGCTCACCAAAAGCGGCAAACATGGAGTTGGCTTTCTTGATCATGCCCGCCTCATGCAGCTCCTGGTAAGTTTCTTCGGTAAACAAGCGCACAATTTCGACCTCTTCTTCTTGTCCAAAACGATAGACTCGTGAGGCCGCCCGATGCTCTGTAGCCCAATTGAACGCCGGCTCAACATGCACGACGGTAGCACAACGATGTTGAGCGTCATGGTCAGCGATGTTGAGAGCATACGTTGTTATGAGGATTTGCGGCATGTCCTCTTCGTCGAAGGCCCGGATATTCTTGTGACGCTCGTCCGGAGGCATGTTGGTGTCCAGGAGGACCGCACGAATTCCAAGGAACTCCACAAGCTTCAGGAACATCTCAGCAGATCTGGGGAATTGGAAGGTTGCGAAGATCTTCCGGTGGCTGGCGACCTTGGTGTTACCCAAGATCACCCGCTGGATTTCCCAAAGCAAGTACTTTATCCTGGGCGAGCCCTACAAGAATTGCCGTAGAACTTCTTCGTCGCTATCCAGCGGGCGATCTATATCTTCTGGGTTCAAGGCTCCAGCTGTCTTCATCCTCGCGGTGAGAAGAGGGAGAACCTTGCGCCGCTGCGCACGGATGGCCGTCGTCGACATCTTGTCGAGCCCGGAGAAGCCGATGTGCGTGCAAAGCACCGATAGCTTTGCGAACTTGGATCCGATCTTTGCTAAGTCCGTCTTGGAGTCCTTCACCTTCGCGCTGTTTGCCAACGAGGCCGCTTCGACGTGCTCGGCAAACTCACGCTGGTACCTGTCTTCTCGCTCGTTGTAGGTAGCCAACTCATCAGCGGTAGTCGGGGCTTTCCCACGAGGACTGATACAGGATCGTTTCATCGCTTTTCAGTGGGTGGTCCTTATCTTCCGGGTTCAAGTATCCAGCTTTCTTCATTCTGGCGGTGAGAAGATGGAGATCCTCTTTTTGCATCGCGCGAATTGCCCATGTTGATACTCGAGCCATGAGAATCCGATGTGGGTGCAGAGCACAGATAATTTGAAGAAAATGGAGCTGGGGCTTATGTGTACTGCTTTTCTGGGCTTTATTGGCGACCGTACGCCTCCATGTAGCTACCCAAGACGTCGCCATCAAATTGTCAGACAACTGTAGATGGATTGTATTCTTCCGCAATGTCCATTCATTGATACCCGGTATCTTCTTGTTATATTGTAGGCTTCTAGATATGTATAACCCCAGGGATCAAACCATGGGTCAAGCTAGTGTCTTCTCCAAGCTGATTGATAACTTTGTTGAACAGATGAACTAAGGGATTGTAGGCTCCTCGATACCTGTATCACGAAAAGCATGAACCAAAAACAAGGTCCATGTTTCCTCTGGTCTCGACAAAGTCATTACAGAACAGGTTTCTTGACAGAACTAACATGGCAAGGATCTTGTGAACGCACGTGGCGAAGATCTTGACATCGACCTCATCCATGATGGGCATCTTGATGTGCCTTCCAATGTAGTAAAATAAGGCTGTTGTTGAACAGCACTTCAAGCTATCAAGGTTGGGTGGGTGATAGTTGGCGTATGGGTTCTCTGGGAAGGGTGCTGGTATGTCTACCAGTATCGATCGGCCATCCACCTTCTGGCGGGATTTTCGGTCAAGGCTTGACGGTCGATTGCGGCTGTACTTCAGCAGCGCGGTCTAGTAAGCGCACTGCCAGCCGTACGAGATCTCTGTCCTGATCTCCATGTCGCAAGAACGTCCATCGAGTTGTAGTCGCTCTTCCAACCCTCGATCGACTTAGAGCGGTCCTTAACGACAGTGTGATCTAGTGCCTGAAGGAAGTGATCGACTAGTACTCGATACTATTCCTGGGATAGTACATATCGTTGGAGTTCCCCTGAATCGGAGGTGAAACATCTTTCACGATAGTCTTGCCGTCTATTTTCTTCCTGTCTTTGCGATCCAGGCTTTGTGGTCGATCACCGTTGTACCTTACGAGTGCAGGCCAGTGGGAGCACTGCCACCCTTCTTCGATTGACTCTTTGATATCTTGAGTATCTAGCCCTTCAACCGAGCTGCAGTCGCTGTGCCAATCTTCGAGGGGCTCGGAGCGGTTGTTGACACCGGTAGCCAGGCCTTCCTTGAACTTGTCGTACCGTGATTTTCGAACCTCGTCGGTGCTGTGGGTTGAGTTCAAATCGGCGACCCATCCCCATCCGACGAACTCTAGGAACGTCAAGTACCCATCGAAGTCCAGTATAGTGTTTACCACAGGAGATCCTGTGAAGACGGCCTTGAAATGTGCATCGAATGACATGAGAATCTTGCCTTGGCGGGTCCGATCGCATCTACGGATACGTTGAGCTTCGTCAAGAATGATGCGGAGGAAAAGCTTGTGCCGCTGCTCACGCGCACTCTCGGTATCCTTTAGGTTTTGCAGCTGGCTGTAGCTTGCCACCACAACTGTGTGTCCCGCACGAGCCCCCGTGTGTACGCTGTGCCTTTTGTCGAAGAGGAGTCGCTCCTTGCGAGTACCAGCTTCCTCGCCGTAGTTATAGACGTCACAGTTGATTTTCAGCTGATTGGTATCCCGGCTTGCCTCGTCTCGTCGCACTTGCGGATGCATTGTCCTTCGTCCAAGATGATCCTCAAGCGTCTATCGCGTTCTCCTCGCTCCTTCTTGCCGTCTTCGATGGCTTGAAGCTGACTGTATGTAGCCATCACAATGGTATGACCTGCTCGGGCTGACGCATAAGTTGCGTGCTTGGGGTCAAACAAGAGGCGCTCCCTTCGAGCTTTGGGTGCCTGAATATATTGTAAACGTTCCATTCGGTTGATCTTGTGGTCGTGGTAGTATAGGTCTCTGAAGCGGTCCTGGCTCATCCCATTCCTCCGCGCGCCGGGCATCAACTCGGAGTTCCAATAGACAGTGATGACGTCACGCTCGGTCAGAATAGCGCAAGCATCGCGTAGAGCCGCCTGTCAGTCCGCATCGTTACCGACAGTGCCCTCGTCATCTTGTAGATCATCAATTACCACCGTGATTGCTGTCAGTGTCTCTTTCTTTGCTGTCATCGTGAAAACCCCGACGACCCACCTCTTGAATGTCGCGAAATTGCAGACTGGCTTGCGTTCAAGAGTTTCTGGTCGCACCATCACCCTCGCTAAAGGTCCACTCCACCTGCAGTACGATGTCTCTGGCCGTCGAGATTAAAGAGCGGTGGGAGGAAGAAACTTGTCTCGCGACGCGTCATGATCTTGGCGAGACGGCGCGTCACGCACGTGAACTGCCCAGGTGCGCTCCACCGCCCACGTGGAAAGACATCGAACTGCTCAGAACCACTATTCCAGTGCTGAGAGGGCAAACCTTCATTGTGTTGCTAGCTCCATGGATAGGTCCGGGGCCGGACTTGTAGTGTATATCTTGATAGAATCACGGTATCGTATTCGTTGGAAGGTAGCGGATGTATTGACTCGTCGCATGTAGGTGGAATGTGGCCTCCCGGTAGGCTTCCGAATCTCAGCTGAACGATGACTTTACCTATCTCGTCAATTGTTCGCAATTCGGTCTTGGGCCGACGGTCATATTGTGCGTATGTTCAGTTTCGTTGGCCTCTTTCTCATCCCTTCCATTATTTGATGGGCGGACTCAGTCATCGTATATCTCGTGTGTGTTGCGGGAGTTCTGTTTCGTTGAGATGAGCATTCGGTCAATCGAGGGCTCCGCTTGGTCCTGTTGAAAGCGCCCAGGCCGAGGTGACTGCCTGTTTCGTAGGTGAAGGTGAGAGACGAAAAAAAGGTGAAGGCAGATTTGGAGCTAGTGCGACCATACCTAGGTACAAGTTCTTTCCGCCTTTCCTTAACTGCCTGTTCCCACGCCACCTCGCCCCATCCTTTGCCGCTTGCACTTCGAAAAGAGATGGATAACGATCAAAACAGCGCCGACGCTGGTGCTGATAACGCGATGGCGAGGCAGGATATTCCCGAGACTGTACAGCCGAAGGCCATGCTCATACTATACGACCTGGAGCTCACCAACGGAGACTTGCCAGGATCCATTCAAATTGCGATTCCAAAGCTTCTGTCCACGGACAGTGTCGATCCCACCTCTTCACACCGCGAAAACGACGACTCGGAGTGTCCGCATCCTTCGCCATCTACAAATACGACAGACTTGAAGCGAAAACGCGCTGGCGATGGTGCAGCTCGAGCGCCGAAAAGGTCACGGGCGTCGAAAAGGTCATCATCACCAGCGTTTCCTATGAGCAGATTGGCAGATTTGAGAGGTACACCGGTGCCTGCAGACAGCTCTTCCCACTGCGAAAACACCAACTCGAAACGTCTGCATCCTTCGGCGTCTACAAATGCGAGGAATTTGAAACGTAAACGCACTGGTGATGATGCAGCTCGAGCATCGAAAAGGGCGCCATCACCAACGTTTCGTGGGGGAAGACTTGCAGATCTGAGAGGTCCATCGATCAGGAACCCTGCTATCGTCACAAAGCATGCAGACATGAAGCTTGCTGCGGCCATACAGCCAGAGGCTCCTCCTGTGGACACATTCGAGTTCTTGGAATAGGTAAGAAGCCAAATAGTGGGTTATGCGCCAGCAGATGCCAAACGAATGCTATCAGCGATCGGCTGTTTGAGAGGTGCAGATACTCGGGAGCTTGGCTTCGAGATTGCGTTGAAGATTTTGGGCAGACACATAGCCACGTTGGTGGAAGAAGCGAAAGAGATGAGAATCAGGTACGACAAGGTCCAGAAGTCAGGTGGTCCTTGCGTCAAGTCTCTCTTGCAGACTCTCGAACAAGCAATTCGTCAGGCTGACAGGAGACGAAACGATTTCGCCGAGCGAGTGAGGGCTTTCGAAGCGGAAGCGAAGGCATGAGGTCGGATGGAAGAGACGTAGCTAAGCCGTCCGTGGACAGCATTGTTGACGTCGGTCCCCAAGCTTGTCAGTCAGCCGGTTCGAGGTTGAGTGGTTAGTGGTTTGACGGGTCAGCAGTGCGTTGTTTCCCCAAGGCTCAAGTACATATGTACGTGGCTATACTCCCGTGGTCGTCCATCTACTTCACACACGATCTTCCCCCTTTTGTTTGGGCGCTTGGCGACAGCTTCGGCTAACGACGATTACCTTAGAATACGTATAGGAAACAACATACTCAATGAATCAGCATTCAGATTTCAGGATTTATGGGAGCCCGGCATTCCTCGAAGGCCTGTTGTCGAATAGTGATGGGGTGATGATAAGAAGTGTTCGAAGTTACAAAGTCCAAGTTCAGCTCAACGTCCCCGCACTTACCGCCCGATTACCCGTCAAACCTCCAGCCCCACGAACACGTCCCACCTTCCTGTCGCCGCAACTCAACATTTCTAGCTCTCCTCCACGAGATCCACCCAGAATTCCAGTTCTCGATCTCCAACGCCGGCATTTTACTATTGCCATCGTCTAAGTACCAAATTCAAAATTCTTCATCAATCAACAACCAATTCTCAGAATTGAAGGCACTTTGGCGTATGTTTGATCAGTCCGTCAACCGTCAACGCTTACTAATCCAAATTTCAGGGAGTGGTTAACGCGCTGGCCTGCTAGTCCTCTGTATTGAGGGAAGTTAGCCAGTTCCTTCGGGAGCGTGTGTTCGAATCACACAGGTGTCGCATCCGGGGGCGTTGTGGCGGAGTGGTTATCGCGCAAGACTAGAAATCTTGTTCCTTCGGGAGCGTCAGTTCGAATCTGGCCAACGTCGTCTTTTTGCTCCAGCAGCGGCCTTGGGGTGGTGGTGTTGATGGTGGGTGTTGTCAGGTTCACTTTTTTGGGGCGGAGGAGTTGAACTTGAACATTAGAACATCAATGCGAAGCCTGCAGTAATCTTATCTTCTGAGGAACATCAAACAAAGGCGATGGTGCTATAGCATGTGCAGCAATAGTTAGCATGTGCAGCAATAGTTAGCGTGGACTGGAGACATGGTTCAAGTTCTCCGGTATCTTGTTGAATGTTGTGATTAGACTTGAGGCTCTTGGCTGATCTCTCGTGATCTCCTTCCCTACGATAGGATACCCTTCTACATTAGACTACCCCCTAATCGATAGTACAGATGACCTTGCCCTTGGTCTTGTTCTCCTCCAACAATCTATGCGCATCCTGCACCTTCTCCCATGGCAGCACCTTCTCTACAAACAGCTTGAAGCTTCCATCCTTCATCTTAGGCAGCGCATGCTCCACAAGCTGATCCCTGAGCTTGCCCTGGTAGTCCTCATCCCTCGATCGGAGACTACTTCCAACAAAGGTACACCTCTTCCTGATGAACGCGCTGATATCTGTTCCCTCTGGCACCTTGGTTCCGCCCATGAAGCCCAGATTGACGATGACACCATCCTTGGCGATAGCATCAAGGTTTGCTTGGAAGTAGGATGCACCGATGAAATCCACGATGATGTCTACGCCCTTTCCATCTGTTGCCTTCATGACCTCTTCCGCCCAGTTCTGAGATGTTGTGTTGAATGCAGCAGTGGCACCGAGTTCTTTGACGGCGAAGTCGCATTTGGCGTCTTGACGGGCGGTTGCGTAGACGGCGGAGGCGTTGTCGGCGAGGGATAGTTGGATACCGGCGATCGAGACTGATGAGGCGGCTGCGTGCCAGAGGATGGTTTTGCCGGCAGCGAATTGACCGACGAGGTACATGGCTTGGGTTGCTGTGATCCAGGTCTATGAGGACTTTGTTAGCAAAACGATAATTTACGGTGCGCTGGACGCTACGAGTAGGCATTGACTTACCTCAGGAATACCCGCGCATTGCTCCCAAGTCAACTCCTTTGGTTTCCGCACCAGCATGTGTGTTGACACAGCAATGTACTCGGCATACGCTCCTCCATATGCTAGGCCAAAGACTTCGTCGCCCACCTTGAAGCCCTCCTTGCCTCCGCCTTCTGCGCTCAACTCTGCGATTGTACCCGAGAACTCTACACCAAGGATCTTCGAAGCACCAGGGGGTACTGGGTACATTCCTTCACGTTGCAATAGGTCCATGCGATTCAGACCAAAAGCCTTGATCTGGACGAGCGCTTGCGACTTTCCGAGCTTCGGCTTGGGGATGTCGGTGATGTGGAGGTTCTCGATTGGGCCTTTGCCATCTTTGATGTCTTCGCAAAGTTAGCGGACTGAGCGTTTCAAAGTACAATCCTGTCGGTACGCACCTACTGCGCGCATCGTGTCGCTCATTGTAAGAGTCGAATGGGGTTTTTTGGCCGTTGAGAATGAATACCAGTAAATTGAAAGGTGGAAAAGTGGCGCTTTACAATTAGTGAAAGTTGTCAGAGAGATTGTCAGATTGTCAGAATGTCAGAAATTCATAAGGAAAGTGGTAGTCTGTTCCGAGGCCATTCCGGTAGCTACGGAAATGATTGGTAATGACGTTTGAGGGGCAGCTAGTTATTGAGCTTGAGCTATGGTGGGGTCGGACAACATAGGCCGCGGCAATAGACTCGTAATGGTATGGTACAACTTGCTTCATTCGGGGGTTTGTCCGCGCGGAACGTCGTGTGCATCTATCTAGCATCCATCATTCGAGCTCTCATGTACATTACTAAATACTACCAAACGTGATGCAGTCGCTCGAAAGAGA